TTTCATCAAATTATCACAGTTCCAAATTTCAAACTGCCCCTTTTTTTTTTTTTTCCTTTTTGCTATTGCCACATGGCGGCACCACTTTAGCTGGTAAACAGACTCCCACTACTCCTTGTCAGCATGGTCTCCAATTATGTGAGGTCTTCAGGAACACATCCCTCTCATGAAATATATCAGCACTGTTTTGACTGCCAGTGTAGTGAAGGTCCCCTGGCCGCCCACCCCACCCACCCCACTATGATTTTGTATCTTAGTTCCTAGGGCTGCCATAAAGTAGATGGCTTTAAAGAGTAGAAATTTATTGTTACACAGTTCTGGAGGTTAGGGGAGTCCAAATTCAGGGCATTGGCAGGACCATGCTCTCTCTGTCAGCTTTAGGTAAAGTTATATCCTTGTCTCTTCCAGTTTCAGGTAGCCCCTGAGCATTTCTTGGGGTTTCCTAGCTTTTAGATACATCTTTATATGGCGTCTGTCTTCCCCATGTAACACTATCTTCTTGTCTGTTCTCCTCTTTTATAAAACACCACTCAGAAGGAATCAGAACCTACCCTACTCCATCATGATCTTGCTAACCTAACTGACAGCATCTTCAAAGACAGACCTTATTTCCAAACAAGGTCAAGTTCAGGTACAGGGGTTAGGCCTTCAACATATTATTTTTGGGGACACAATTCAATCCATAGCATTTTGCTACTGTAGTGCATTTTTATGAAGTCTCTTTACCGATTAAAGATAATTTTTTTTTGTTTCTCAATGGAGAAAATTTATTAAAAAATCCTTGGGAGAATAGAGGGTAGTGTATTAGTTTCTACATCTCTTTCATAAGATTTAACAGCTGAAGAGACCTTTGAGGTTACCTAGTCCAACTTCTTCACATTAATCTATCAAAAAAACTGAGTTTGTTAAGTAACTGGGCTAAGGTAGTAGTGTAGGGAGGTGGGGTAGACCTGGTATCTAGTTCTTTCCCCTGAGCAACAGCTGCTTCTGGATGTGCAATGCTTATCACACTTGAAGGGGCTGAGTACATAAGGACACTTAAATTGTGCCTCTACATACAAACCAGTTTGAAAAGGAAAACAAAACAAAACAAAACAAAACAAAACTAGCAGTTCAAGTGTAAACACTTAAAGAGTAAAGACTCTGAAGCCAGCCCATTCACTGACGATAGTTCATTTTGATTGTTTGATTGATGGTTCACAGGACTAAGGTTAAGTACAGATTTTATTAAAAATAACTTCTATTTGGCCTCATGTATATTAAACATTCAAACTGTTTTCACTTTTACAAGTCCCTGAATCAAATAGGGCCACAAAACTGACTTTATTGACATTTATTAGCTAAGGTCAATAATCATAATATGCTCCCAACAAATAAATGTATTTCTGAGAGAAACCATCAGGCACTTCAAAATGCCCTATTGCCCTGTTAAGGGCACTACATGGCTCTAGCACTGGCAAAATCAAAAGTATCTTTAATCCAGAGACCCACAACACTGAAGACCTACAACACCTATAATTCTTAGTACAAATAGTAGGGAATCATCTCTTAATATTTTTGTTAGGAACACAATCTGAAATGTTGCCATTTCTTTTAGTTTCAGGATAGAACTAACAGTCTCTAATAATGTTAATTATTTTACTAAAGTGCTTGCTTCCTAGGGTAAGGGTGCTGTATTTTCAGAAATTACAACAAAACAAAACACAACTCACCAGGATGCTTTTATAACATTGATTATGAAAGGCAGAAGTATTTATCCACTTGATCTTGACATTGAGTTTACTGGGTAAAGTTACATTTTAGGGGAATCAACACAATAAGCTGTGTCCACTCTACTTGGATTTCAAAAATAATCCATCTACTAATTTATTCACAGTAGAGACTTAACTAATTGATAAATATTTTTCTTAACTATGAAATATCTGAGAGTTCCCTTGTAGAAGCATTCAGAAGTACATGAACACGTAAGATACAAAGAACAGAAGAGTCTCCCTTGAATCTTTTCTTGATTAACAGTATTTTAGAGAGAGAAATGCCTTAAAGATCACTTAGTGTGTAACTTTTTCATTTAGGCAGTGGTTCTCTGACCCCTAGGGATAGTTCCAGACCCCTCTGATAATCAAAATGTGATGAATCCACAGACTTTTGATCAATAATCCTGAATTGCCAGATTAAAACCTGAGGTCAGGGAGGTCTGGTGACCTGCTGAGAGTTCACACTGCTCCTTTCTCCTGCCTGCGCTGTATTTTCTGATACTGCAAAAATAAACTAAGTAACCTCACTCCTCAGCTCTTAAAATGTATATAGCAGATACATATGGACAGCAAGAGCAAAGAGATTTAAAAACAGAGTAGAAAAAAGTAACTTGAACAGAATGTGGCATTTTCCCTTGGTCTGCTGCTAACGGCCCACATACAACATGCTTTAAAAAACCACCCTGGCATTTCTTGTCATCATCATTTTAAAATGATTTAAATGGACATTTAGATTGTATGGCGTTGGGCATGTATTCCATCTGGGGATACACTGAAAAGAGCTTTATCAACAAGGGCTGCATTTTTAGTTGTCAGGATAAAGTTGATGGGTACTTGGTATCTTCTCTTTTGGTCATGCTTTTAAAGACAAACTCAGTATTTTAATTGTATATTTTCAGGTAATGTGTACAAAGCAGTACACATTGCTTTTTGTGAGGAAAATAATTAGGAACATAAATATAGTTAATATTTAATTATAAATGTTAATTTATTTAAAATGCTTTCAGGATTTGAAGACTTGAAAGAAACATAAAATGGAATTGTTTCATTTTCTTTATATTCCGAACTTTTTAAAAAATTGACTCTAAAGCCAATCACACTTTCTTTTATTAAAAACTAGGCTCCTGTCTCTTAGATGTCACTTTTGGAGTGGCTGTTTTCTGAATATTGTTCCAATTAAAGTTCTTTGTACAAATTCTGAGAGACTGATATTCCATATACTTACATAAACTCTGTCCTATAATTTAAAGCTTCTATAAATTCAGACAAGGGTCGATAACCAGCCAATAGCTTATGAACCTCTTGATGCTCCTTGCTGTCAGCAAACATTGTCCTATTGATAACTGTTCTAATAAAGTTTTTGTCTTAACAATTTTGCCTAACAATTTTCACGATAACACCGAAAAGCTGCAAAAAAGTAACTGTGGCTAGGTGAAGTAAAAACCTACCGATTACAACATCTATTTTTTCACTCTTCTAGTAAATCTGAAGTAATGGGGCTCAGATTCCCAGCTTTTCTCAGTCTCCAGTTTTTGGTCCTGATGTTATAATGCTTAGGCATTATAGTTTAATCATTTTCCAATCTAAAAATAGAAATTATCTTACGGGGAAAACATCTTTTTTTAGCCTTTACTTCTGGAGGATTCTAATGTTTCACTGCTAAGCACTATTTTAGTACAGCATACCTGGACACATCATGTAGTATAATATATGCAGACAGGCTTTGGAGAATTTACTTCAATTTACATACAATCCTCCAAATCCTCTGGTGAGCCTGATGTGAAATCTGACACAGGCCGCGTCTCCCCGGCAGGATCTTCCTTTGCTCTCAGTGTTTATGGCCAAAGGCTCCAAAAGATCCCTTGGACAGCGCAGTGGGGCTGGGGAGTCGGGAAGAGGGGTGACTGTGGGGCTTGTTACGCTGAAGATTTACAATGTAGTTCTTGCAGGCGGCTCACCAAACCCTTTCGTGGCTGTGGGTGTCTCGTGTGACAGAGCGGAGAAAAGCTCTCTAATCTCCTGTGCCTGCCTCAGCCGCTCAGCCTCTCCCCTTCCTCCCGCCTTTCCTGCCTCCTGGAGCTCTCTCGCTCTCTTCTTTGCCTTTCTCCGGGAGTTTCAGTCCCTGAATGCAGCTAGAGTACCTTTGGCAGTCTAGACCTGGAGCCTGTATGTACACACACACGCATACACGCGCACACACGTGCACACGCGCTCGCACACACGCACTCCGGCTCGCCCCACGGGAATACGATGCAAACCCAAAGCTTCATCTACCTGAAAGGGATGGCCCCGCCGGACACTTCTAGCTCACTTGTCATCTCCGGAGGGCAGAGCAACATCAGAAGGAGGGAGGTTCCCTGTCCGGTCTGCATCCTCAAGACGTTTGCCGCCTCCACTGCTTAAAGTGTCCAGGGTAGAGGAGAAGGCGTCTCCAGGGCAAATCTCTGGCACAGCTCCGCAGCCCCAAGACTTCCTCCGACTGCTTCATTCTGGTCTTTCCCTTCTGGCCATCCTCTCCTCCCCGGCTGCGGGGTGCATGGCTTGGGCGCCTCCAGTGCTGCCGCCGCCGCCGCTACAGCGAGCACATCCCACCCAGAGGACTGAACGCCGACACTGGAGTTGGGGGGGTAGAAAGCGGAAGCTCTAACTTCCCTCCGCAACTCGCTCGCTCTCCCCATTGCTCTCTCTCCTCCCCAACCGAGGACCCGTTGAAAGGCTCCCGCGGAAAGCAAGGCTAGAGCGCGGCGCAGGGGAGGGCCAGCTGGGAGCCGCAGGCGCTCAGGGGCGGGGGAAGCATGTGCCCCGCCGCCCGGCGCCCGCCGGCGAAGTAGCGCGCAGTGGGGCGAGCGAGACGCTTTCCAAGTTGGGCGCGTCCCAGAGTCCGCCTCGGCCGCTGGTGTCCGGAGAGAGGAGGGGCTGATGGGGGAAGCCGAGGCTGCCGTCGCCAGCGGCCAGAGCCCGTCTTAAGAGAACCTGGGCCAGAATCCCTCGAGTACCAGCTAGCGTCGCGCCCTCGGCCCGCGTGCGCTCTCTGATGCCTACGCTGGCGTTGGCCCGGGTGGCCCGCCCGCGGGGGGTGCCGGAGGGGGCGGGGGAAGAGGAGGAGGCAGTGTGATGGCCCTGGACGGCGAGGTGGGGGAACAAGAGGAGGAGGAGAAGAAAAAGAAGAAGAAGAAAAAGAAGAGGAAGAAGAAGAAGGAGAAAGAGGAGGGGGCCGAGAAAAGCAGCTCACCCTTCGTCGCCACGATGGGGGAGGACGACGCCGCACTCCGGGCCGGCGGCAGGGGGCTCTCGGACCCGTGGGCGGACTCGGTGGGAGTGCGACCCCGCACCACGGAGCGCCACATCACAGTGCACAAGCGGCTCGTGCTGGCCTTCGCCGTGTCCATCGTGGCGCTGCTCGCAGTCACCATGCTCGCCGTGCTGCTAAGCTTGCGATTCGACGAGTGCGGGGCGAGCGCAGCGCCCGGCGCCGACGGCGGACTCGCCGGCTACCCCGCGCGCGGCGGCAATGCGAGCTTCCCGGGACCCGCCCGGCGCAACCACCACGCGGGCGAGGACTCCTCGCAGCCCGAAACGGGCGAGGACGCCACCCCGGGTACCCCGTCTGCCCAGCCGCCGTCGGAAGAGGAGCGGGAACAGTGGCAACCGTGGACGCAGCTGCGCCTGTCTGGCCACCTCAAGCCGCTGCACTACAATCTGATGCTCACCGCCTTCATGGAGAACTTTACTTTCTCCGGGGAGGTCAACGTGGAGATAGTGTGCCGGAACGCCACCCGCTACGTCGTGCTGCACGCCTCCCGGGTGGCGGTCGAGAAGGTGCAGGTGGCCGAGGACCGGGCGGCCGGGGCTGTCCCGGTGGCCGGCTTTTTCCTCTATCCACAAACCCAGGTCTTGGTGGTGGTGCTGAATCGGACATTGGACGCGCAGAGAAATTACAACCTGAAGATCATCTACAACGCCCTGATTGAGAACGAGCTCCTGGGCTTCTTCCGCAGCTCCTACGTACTCCACGGGGAGAGAAGGTACGGAGAGAGGCGGTGCCCCGCGCCGCCCCACCCCGCCTGGCGGCGGGACTCACTAGGCGGCCGGCATCCCCGGGGACCAGGCTGGCTTCCGATACCTCGGGAAGCGAGGGGCGGGGGAAGGAAGAAAGTTGGCGTAAGACCATCACCCCAAAACCCTCGGGGTCTCCCAAATGCCTGGGCTCTCACTGCTACCAACTATCCAAGTTCACTCACCAGTGCCCCAAAATGAATTCCTCCCCCTCCTCTAGTCGCGACCTCCCCAACCCTCCCCGCGCAAAGTTCCTTAGTCAGCCGGGCCCGTGGCTGTTTTTCTAAAGGGGAATGTGTAATTTGAGCGATGCCAGACTGACATCAAAAGGCTGCCAAGTTACAGTCAAAGAAAAATACGTGAGCTCTAATGGCCAGGGCAGCAGTGTATCGCGGTAACACGTCAGGGCAAAATCGTCCTCCGACGTCTATCTCCTCTGACTCTTAGTCCACTGGTAAACGCTGCACAAAGGGTGGCTTTGGCCTCAAAAAGTTTTCCCAAACTGGAAGTTGAGATTCATAGACGTTTCCCGTGACAGGCTAATGGGGGTGCAGGCGGGAGGGGTGGCTGCCACGTCCAATGCCAGTGAGAAATGCCCTTCCAGGAGCTGCCAGCTCTCCAGGAACACACGGTGACTCCACTTGCTTGTTCTGGAGTTATTGCCCCTGGAAATGACTCCAGTGGTGAAGGGAGTGAAAACGAGCAGTCAGTCTCAAATGCCTTGTTAGAGAGTGCCTTTGATGCTTTTTAGATTTGGACAGTATTCTATTATTTTATTTTGAGAGGCTGTGGAACTTTTCACCAGTTGTTGAGAGATCGGACTTCAGAGTCCAACAGAACCGGTTCAAATCTCAGCCGCTCCTCCGGCAAGTGAAGGCTTGGGGAAGTTGATTAATTTTTTTAAGCCTCTAATTCCTGACAATGATAACCTCTATTACTTATTGCTCACCTATATTAACTCATTTATACTACAACAACCCTGTAGGGTAGGCGCTATTATCATTCTATATTTTACAGATGGGGAAATGAAGGCATAGGTTAGTCAAATAACTTGATTGTAATTACATAGTTATAGTTAGTGAACTGACAAAGCAGGGATTTGAACTCAGGCAGTTTGGATCTAGAGCCCATACTCTTAGCTCTAACTTGGGGATAATAATAATAATAATAATAATAATAATAACAATGCTATACTCTCATAGGAGTGTTGCAGGTGCCCATGAACAAATGCATTAAAAAAAAAAAACCCAACAGAAAACCACTTAACCCTGTGCCTGGCATATGGAGTAGCTGCCATAAATGTTAGCTCTTATGAGTGTCCAGTAGTAGTAAGTTCTCAAATATATTGCTGAATGAATGAATAAGTGATTCTGCTCTTTCCCTTGACTCATTGCATTTAAAGTAACTGATTAAATAACTAGGGCAGGTGAACAACCAAAGTTAAACAAGAAACTTAGAAATATAATGAACAAACATAAAAATGTAATCACCAACTTGAGGGAGTTGGAGATTAGTAATGATGCCAATAGCAGAGCCTTTCTTGTTCCCAAGTGATTTTCACAACAGCAGAAAACTGGGACTCAGCAGTCGAGGGCACTTGATGTCAGCAGGCTTGTCAGTGGAGAACTGGGCCTTGAACTTTGGTTTTCTGATCCCCAGACCGGGGTTTATGGTGCCTGGAAGCTCTCAGAGGGAGCTATTATCTTTTAAGAGGCTGAGAAAACGTCAACGTATTGTGCGAGTACACAAACGTTTTATTATTTATAGAGCGCTATGAGGTAACCTCATATAAATAAAGTACCCAAATGCTTTAGTAGTTGCATGACAGTTAAAGCCTCCCATAAGTAAATGTATAAATTATTCACTTTCTAAATCCTAAAATCAGATATGGATTTTATCTTCCACCACTTCCTCTAACAAGTTTTAGGTAATGCGGATTAAACATTTTTTTAAACCAACAATCATATCAAATATGGGGGAAAGGCATAGAAGGTAAATTTGCGTGTCATTGTTATATCAAAATGTCAGTACTGGAAATTGCTATCACTACTGATAAATCTTGCTGTGGTAAAATGAATACTTAAAACAAATTCTGTTTTTTGAGCCATGCCAAAATGTATTTGGTGGAACTGAGCTTGTTTTGGTCAGTGCTTTCAAATTAATAGGACTCTTAAAAAGACCAGATGTTTCTGCTTGACCCATAATTAATTTCTTATACCCCTGGTACATATTTGCATTCAAATGCTCTCCTTCAGTTTTCCCTAAAGATGTAAATAATTTAGTTGAAAGTTTAACCTAGTGCACATGTGGCTAAACTCTGCACCCCAATAGAACTGCAGGATTCAGTGTTTCTGGAGATCACATGATGACTTTATTTCTAAGCAGCATCTTAGAGAAAGTTACTCTTCTTTTTTTGTTTCCTTCAGTACCATAATTAATTTGGTAATTTATTGGATGTTTCTACTGGAGTTGATAAGATAAAAGAAAATCTAATAAATGTTTCACAATTATATCAACATTCGAGATATTAACTTTTTTTTTTTTCTTACTATGGCTACTTGGAGATTTTTTAAACAGACCCATAGCAGGAACTCAGTCAGGGTTGGACTTTACTGGTAATAATTTTTTCACAAAAATGCGATGTAAATTGGCATTTTAAAACCCTATCTCCAAAAGGACACAGATGCAAACTCTGAAATTTTCATTTAATTCATGATTAAATATCTTGGTGTTTAGTCATAACTTTTCCCAATTATAGAATGATTTCTGTAATGAAAACAAATAATTTGCCTACTGGGGTCACACTGACAACTTGAAATTCTTAAGAGAGCGATGCTGTGACCTCATCCACTTAGTCTGTGTGGAAACAATAACTCATTTATACCCAATCCATCTGATTCTTTGATGCACTCCTTACAGATTTGAGAGAAGGGATTTTGGTGAGGGCAGAAAAGTTAGATTCCACACTGTGCTGTATACCTTTGTTTGTAGGAAGGTTTTATCCTCCAGTAGGTATTGGAGCCCTGGTGGCGCAGTGGTTAAGACCTCAACAGCTAACCAAAACATCAGCACTTTGAATCCACCAGCTGCTCCTTAGAAACCCTATGGGGTAGTTCTACTCTGTCCTGTAGGGTCATTATGAGTCAGAATCAACTTGACGGCAATGGGATTTTTTATTTTTTTGGTTTAGATATTGGAGGGGGCCTGGGTTTGTTCTCCAGGGAAGAGTTGCCTTTTATGATTCCCATACTGTAATGCAGAAAAGTCAGAAGGCAAGGTCCATGTTGAGCCCGATGTTCCCCTACTTGAGGCAAACCTTTTACTGGGTGTTGCTCATTTGTCTCTAAGAAATAAAACTCATCACTTGTTGAGAATTGCAAATAAATAAACTTTCTTAAAATTGAAATGTTTACACACAAACAGTAAATTATCTCCACTAGACAGAATACATATTCACTTTTTCCTCAAATAGGTATGCAACAGACAGATAAAAGGGATGTGTATTTATGCCATAATCTCCTATAGGAGAATATGCTTGCTTAGAATTAGGTAAAATGTTCATTTACCTGAAGTAATTGCCGCTTTTGGGTAGCCAGATGATGTGCACACCCATGTTCAAAGTAGGGTACCTTAATTTAGATCCAGATGGTCGGACTGAAAGAGAAAATTTATCTGAGGTAAATGAACATTTTACTCACTTTCAAAAGAGGGACTGGTTTTCTTTGACAAACTTTGATTGGGTCTATAACATGCCAAAGTGACAGAAGACAGAATAAAATTAGAAGGTCTTTTTATGTAAAAGGTTGTTTAGAGAGAAACGGTGATCTCCAATTAAAATGAGAACATATTATTGTGGTTCTCAAAGAAAATTGAGACCACATGTTTGCAAAAATCTTGTGGAGAGTATGAAAGATTTTATCTCTGAATAGGTAGGCATTTAATATTTTGTGGTATTAGTGTACCTGGTTTGATACCTTGTACTTTTTTTTTGGAATGAATTAATCATGATATTTAATAAAAATAAGAAAACCACTGTATTATTTTTCTGCTTGAAAAAAGCCTCATCTTTCCCATTCATTCTGGTGAGAGATATTTTTACATGAGAAAGTGGGAGTATATGGCCTTTTGTCCCTCTATAGAAGTCTCTGAATTGAAAAATCTTTGAAACCATTTGTTTTTAAGAAAACTTCTTTTAAATGATTTCTTAAGAGACTTTAGTTCATTGTTTTCCTTTCAGGCACACAAAACCCTGTGGCCAGATTGAGGCCAGTGCTGGATTTTGGCCACAGTTCAAAATGTCACAAGTAAACCGACTCTAGTAAATATTAAAAACAAAACAACAACAACCTGTGAGTTTAACAATGACTCACTCTGTGAGAAAAAGTAATACAGTTGGTGTTTGTCTTGCCTTGTTTTTCCATTATGCCCTCTGATTTGATCACCCAGGATACATTTTCTAAAAGTGTACGTTTTCCCTGAAAGTGTTAGATTAGTTTGCCTGTGTTTTTTATTTGTTCAGAGCAGCTCCAAACACATGGCCTATCTCTTCTGGATATCTTTCAAACAAAGATGGGTCTGTGTTATGGACTGAATTATGTCCCCTCAAAATATGTGTTGTAAATCCTAACTTCTATGCCTGTAGTTATAATCCCATTTGTAAATGGGTTGTCTTTGTATGTTAATGAGGCAGGATTAGTGTAGGGTGTATTTTTTGAGTCAATCTCTTTTGAGACGTAAAAGAGATTAAAAGAGCAAGCAGAGCAGAGATGCGATAAAATAGATGCCAAGACACATGGAAATCTCCAAGGAACCAGGAAGCAGAAGCTGAAGAGACAAAGACCTTCCTCCAGAGCCGACAGAGAAAGAAAGCCTTCCCCTAGAGTGGGTGCCCTGATAGCCTCCTAAACTGTGAGGAAAATACATTTGCTTGTTAAAGCCACCCACTTGTGGTATTTCTGTTACAGCAGCA